TATATATATATATATATATATATATATTTGAAAAATATGTATATATATATTTTTAAAAAATAAATTATTTTATTTATTTTTTGGTTTAGAGTATTTAAAATAATATTTAAAAATGAAAAAAACGCATAATTACACACATGCTTTGCATAGGCACGCGTATGCTTGTAATGTTTAATTTCGATCAAAAACGTATTGTCACGTATTACGCATTTTAGAACCTTGAAAAAATTGATGGATAGATTTGAATTCATCTTAAAAGATTGTGTGTGATACGTACCTATGGTGGGATGCGAGTACCATAAAAGTAACAACTTTTCATGATAAAATACGAGATTGACGAAATTTTATTTTTGTTGTTAATAAATAAAATATACCACTAAAACGGTTTAAGTAAAAGATGGTCGAAAGATATTTCAATTCAGGATTTGAAAATAAATTTTCCATGTGATTACCATATGCACGGAGCATGACATTAGAGAAACTTGTTGACTGCATAAAAGAAATAAAAAGGTGTATTAAGTTGTCATCATCTACGACGATCGAGTTTAGATTAAAAGTTTTAGACATCTTACCATCACAATCTGAGGTGTCAAAATGGAACAACCAATCCAAAAACTCACAACTCGACACCAATTTAATTAGAACATTTCCTTACATGTAAGCAATATATAATTCCATTATAGTGATCATGCACGGTCCTAATCTCATGTCCTCGGTAGACAAGATAAAAAATTTCCACCATTGATGTGATAAGAGAACCTTAATTATGGTTCTCTGAAACGATCTTACCACGTCAACAATGAGAGGTTTTTATCATATCCACTGGAAGTAGAAGACCAATTCTATAGTGATGCACTCAAATAAGAACAAACATAATGTTTGTTTAAAAAAGATTACTAAAGTGAAAAATAATTTTTTATAGAATGTGATTTAAACAGTAGAGAAAAGTTATAAATTTAATGCTGCGTTTGATTGTCAATATTTTTCATGAAAATAAGTTTTTCCACTTAATTTCTTACTTTTGTGTTCTTTATTTGACAATATTTTCCACGAAAAATATTTTCTTACTTTTGATCACATGATCACATTTTCCTTGAAAACAAGGAACATATATTTTTAGGGAGAAGTAGTTTTTATTTTCCATGTAATTCACTCTCTCTTTTTCTCTCTCATTTACCTGTCAATAAAAAATGGACAAATACAACATTTTCGATGTTGAAAACTAAATCAATCAAACACATTTTAATCAATAACACTCCTACAAAAATAGCATTTTGTAATGTTCAAAAAACGTTGTAAAAACTATTTGCAACGTTTGAACGTATGTTGCAAACCTCAATGTTGTCGTAGAGTAGAAGGATACGTCAACATTTTTTGAATGTTGCAAATAATCTTTTTAGCAACGTTTTTTAAATGTTGCTAATAACCTTTTCTCAACATTTTTCGAGTGTTGCTAATAACTCTTTTGCAATGGTTTTTACTGTTGTCGTATGTTTTTTTTTTATATATAGCAATTTATGTAAATTGAGTGAAAAAATTGAAAATACTCATTGTGAACAAATTTTGAAATTGCATAACCATTGATAATTTTTTTACAAATTTTTGAATCCATACACTTGATCATTAAAATGTGATACAATCACCTAAATAAAACGGAGTTTCAAAATGAAATAAAATTAAAATTAGGAATAAAATTTTGGTACTGCTTAGGCATGAAGAGCTTACTGCCACACTTGCAACACCAAGCTTCTAGATAATACTCTAATAGCATTATGAGTATGCCATTGGGTACTCCTCAGGCGAAAACAATTTCAACTTCAAAACTCCTCTTACAAAGCAAGCCAATGAAACAAAAATAATAATAAAAAGAGACAGAACAAGTTTAACATAAAACCCCTCCAACATCAAAATCTAGTAACTTACAGTAATTACCAAACAAACAAAATCATGAAAGGTTATCACACTCAATTCAAAGAATTCCAAGGTTTAACCAAAGAAATTAGGATTTAAACACTCACTTTGAATTCATATTCAGTTGTATAAACTAACAACAGACTCCAAATAACACATTTCCCCTCTTTTGAACTTTTGTGTAATGCTGTGCACTCTTTTGAACTTTTAGTGCAACATATCTCTATTACCCAAATATTTAACGTAAAAGAAAATCACAATTAGTCAAATAACAATTAGGTTCAAGACTTAAATTTGATTAAACAATGCATTCTATACAATCTCTTGCTTTCTTTCTTTCACTTCGCCTATTCATATGCGTCTATAAAATGTCAAAATAATAGCATAAGTTCACCAGAAAAACCACAAGACAATAGAGAATGCACAAGAATAGTAAAAATTGAGAAAAGTGAGGTAGACGAATCGAGAAATGTACTAATTTTTGGGTGTCCCAGGCGAGCCAGATGGTGGAGAAATGGCCTCAGCCTAGCTTGCTCTGAACAACATATCGGTCGTGTTTGAATGTACCGCCTATTCGTACAGCGTGGTAGCCTCTGCGCCTGTAGTCCTCCGTCCCTTCGTCCTCCGACGTGTAATCGCTCGTTTGGCTCTGATCGTCTCCGCCACCGTTTCTCTCCACCACCACATCCTCATCCTCCTCCTCCACCGTCGATCTTGTATTGTAATACTTAAACAATTTCGAAAATTTCGAAAATGTAATAGGAACCCCAGCCTGGCTCTATGTGTATGCAGTGCGTGTGCGCGTGCGTGTTTGTGTTTGTGAGAGAGTGAAGGGTTTAATTTTTAATTTGTTATTTTCTTTTCTCTTATGTTCCATCTTCATGAAGACGGTGATGGTGAAGGTGTTTTCCGGGAACGAAAAAGGGGAGATTGAAGATTGGAAGTTCAAGGGCTTTTTTTTTTTTCGTCTGTTGTAGAGAAGCAAGAGAAATATGGTGCACAAATACCATTTAATCCCAACAAATACCATTTCGCAACATTTTAAAAACATTGCAAAAAATAAAACTTTTTGCAACATTCAAAAAACATTGCAAAAAGTAAATTTTTTTCACAACAGTCAGTAAACGTTGCAAAATGCTATATATTAAGAGTTTTAACAACAGCCACTGAACGTTGTTATAGAACCAGATTTTAACAAAGTCCAAAAAACATTGCAAAAAATGAAACTTTTCGCAACATTCAAAAAATAGTTGCAAAAAGTAAAACTTTTCGCAACAATCAATGAATGTTGCACAAAGCTATATATTAAGAGTTTTAGCAACAGCCACTGAACGTTGCTATAAAACCAAATTTTAACAACGTTGTAAAAAATGAAACTTTTTGCAACATTTAGAAAATGTTGCAAAATGCGACATTAGCAACATTTATTTAAAAAAATGTTGTTAAAACTCAATTATATATTAACCCATCACAACATTCACTCATAAAAATGTTGCGATAAACCCATTTTAGCGACACTCAATTAACAAATGTTGTCTTTTTAATGTTACGAAAGATCTTTTTTTTTTTTTTTGTAGTGTAATTTAAATACAAATACATTCTAGACAATTGAATTGTCCAAAATTTATTTTCTTTCCATACAAATTTCGTGCTCACAATCAAACGCACTATAAGTGTAAAATTATTTCGCTGAAAGATATGTAATTGAAAATGAGTTTGAATAAAAAATAATTTACAAATAATCTTGTTAAACAGATGCATAGTCTTGATCGAGATATGATAGTAATAGCTATAAAATTTACACAAAAGAAGAATAAAGAAAATCAATTGAAATAAAGAAACAATTTGAATTTCACCGAATTACACATATGTCAAACCACCCTAATAATTAAATCTGCTACTCAATTAATCCAATAATAGACACAACTAAATCCCAACTTTTATTGTTCAATATTGTACTATCCACACAAAACAAGCTTATCTTGTCTCACCGGTCGAAAGGTCCATAGGGATCAAGCTGTTTGCACAAACTAAGGTAAGTAAGATAAAGAACACGATCCTTAGCACCAGTATGATGATTTCTAGTATGCTTGTAGCAATATTTTATCTGTTCAAGTGTACAACACCCCAGCATCTGTCCCAGAAGCAAAAACAGCCAGTTTATGGATTTTTTCTTCTCAGAAATTATGGGTTTCGCACAATTTTCTTGTTTATAGTATCTGCACCGTGGCAAATTAGGGTTTATCCAAAGCCCGGGTGCCCGGTCGTGCATGTTGTCTTTGTTTTATTTTATATGCCAAAAAATCACATATGAACATCATCATCGAAAAACACAAAAAGAAACGAGGTCTATTCATCAATAAATCAACAAAATGAGTCACGTTGTCAGTTTAATTTAAAAAATATTAATTTTTTCCATTTTGTTAATGTATATTTTTGTTGTCGTATTTTAAATTTGTTTTCATATTTGTACAATTGATGTTATCAAACAAAGATTGCAATCATATTTTTATAAGACAACTCAATGCCTTTGAGGAAGAGTGGATTGTAAAAGAATCCATAATTCGAAAAGGTTCCATTTAGCAATAAGAATGATCACGTTGAAGTTTTAAAACCAATTTTGTGTATTGAAGATGTATATATAATGTTTGAATTAGCCAATATTTTTCTTATAGAAGTTTCACTATTAGACAAACAGGTTATTTTTTTATAATATTTTTAGGGAAGTAATTTCTGAACTACGTTACAATTTTAATTTTTTCTTTAACAATATCAGTTATTTTAACCACTTTAAAAATAGTATTAGTACTTTAAAAATACTATGCATATTATTCATTCGATACGTAAGAGATGCAATGTAAGTGCTTATTACTAGTAACTTAAAAAATCAAACTGAACCCAATAAACATCAAATTAGTCCAAATCATCGAAACTCATGAACATATACAACAATCTGTTGGGTTTTGACAGTTAGAAAAATAAAAAATCAAAATAAAATATTTGTAGAACTGCAACTATCTACATCGAGCCTAAACCTCCTTCTTCGGTCTTCCTCTAATTTTAATAACAAGTGATGCTAGTAATGCACAATTTTGAATTATTGATTGTTATAATGATGAGGAGGGGGTTGACAATGATATCTTACCACCAACAAAAGGTCATAGAAATTTTCGAGTTGAAATAAGGGAGTCAATGCACATGATTGTACATGAGATGCACGAAATATGACTTGGATGAAGAAGAGGAGATTGAATTGGAATATGATAAAAATTTAGACAAGATTTAGAGTTTTTTAAGCGATGTTCATGTCTAATCTAATTGCAGGAATTGATTATCAAGTAATTGTAGTTTTTATGATTTTGGGCAATATATTTTTATTGAAAATCTGAAAAATATGTGTAAAGTTCAATTGATGTGTGTGTGTGTGTGTGTGTATATATTTGAAAAATTTGTATATATATATTAAAAAATACATTATTTTATTTATTTATTGGTTAAAGTATTTAAAATAATATTAAAAAAATGAAAAACGCATAATTACACACATACTTCGCATAGGCACACATATGCTTGTAATGTTTAATTCTTAATCAAAACATATTGTCACATATTACGCATTTTAGAACCTTGAAAAATTTGATGGATAGATCCGAATTCATCTTAAAAGATTGTGTGTGATACCTATGGTGGGATGTGAGTACCATAAAAGTAACAACTTCTATGATAAAATAAGAGATTGACGAAATTTTATTTTTGTTGTTAATAAATAAAATATACCACTAAAACGGTTTAAGTAAAAAATGGCTTGAAAGATATTTCAATTATGGATTTGAAAATAGATTTTCCATGTGATTACCATATGCACGGAGCATGACATTAGAGAAACTTGTCGATTGCATATATGAAATGAAAAAGGTGTATTAAGTTGTCATCATCTACGACGATCGAGTTTAGATTAAAAGCTTTAGACATCTTACCATCACAATGTGAGGTGTCAAAATGGAACAACCAATCCAAAAACTCACAACTCGACGCCAATTTAATTAGAACATTTCCTCACATGTAAGCAATATATAATTCCATTATTGTGATCATGCACGGTCCTGATCTCATGTCCTCGATAGACAGGATAAAAATTTTCCACAATTGATGTGATAAGAGAACCTTATTTATAGTTCTCTGAAACGATCTTACCACATCAACAATGAGAGGTTTTTATCTTATCTAATGGGAGTAGGAGACCAATTCTACACTGATGCATCACTAATAAGAACAAACATAATGTTTGTTGATTACTAAATTTAAAAATAATTTTTCATAGAATGTGATTTAAACCATTGAGGAAAGTTATGAATCTAAGAGTGCGTTTGATTGTCAATATTTTTCATGAAAAATATATTTTTTTCCACCTAATTTCTTACTTTTGTTTTATTTGATTGACAATTTTTTCCATAAAATTTTTTCCCTTGGAAACAAGGAAAATATATTTTTTTAGAGAGAGAGTTTTTATTTTTCAGGTATTTCACTATCTCTTTCTCTCTTTCATTTACCTACCAATAAAAAATGACAAGTATAAGATTTTCGAGATTGAAAACTAAATTAATCGAACACATAATTAATAATTTTCATACAAATAAGTTCTGGACAATTGCATTGCCTAAAATTTATTTTATTTTCATACAAATTTCATGTTTGCAATCAAATGCGCCATAAGTGTAAAACTATTTGTTGAAAGATATGTGATTGAAAATGATTTTTTATTTTTCAGGTAATTTAGTCTCTCTTTCTCTCTCTTATCTACCTACTCTATCTACCAATAAAAAATAGATAAGTATAATATTTTCGAGGTTGAAAACTAAATCAATCAAACACATTTAATTTATTTTCTTTCCATACAAATTCCATATTCGCAATCAAACGCACCATAATTATAAAATTATTTGGTTGAAAGATATGTTATTGAAAATAAGTTTGAATAAAAAATAATTTTCAAATAATCTTGTTAAACAAACATATTGTCTTGATTGAGATATGATAGTAATAGCTATAGAATTTGAGTTATGCTACATGTATAAAGTTGAGTTACAAAGTTTGTTAACAAAATAACATTTATACCAGTCATTTTAAAAACAGATTTTTAAATCATTTGAAATTAACGGTCTGAATTTTGCCAATATACTTCGTAACCCAACTTTTGTAACCCAACATTGTACAAATAGTTTTATTGATAGAATTGAGTTACACGAAAGAAGAATAGAGAGAAGCAATTGAAATAAAGAAACAATTTGAATTTCACCGAATTGCACATATGTCAAATCCGCTACTCAATTAATCAAATAATAGACACAGCTAAATCCAACTTTAATTGTTCAATATTGTACGATCCTCACAATACAAGCTTATCTTGTCTCACCGGTCGAAAGGCCCATAGGGATCAAGCTGTTTGCACAAACTAAGGTAAGTAAGATAAAGAACACGATCCTTAGCACCAGTACGATGATTTCTAGTATGCTTGCAGAAATATTTTATCTGTTCAAGTGTACAACACCCCAGCATCTGTCCCAGAAGCAAAAGCAGCCAGTTTATGGATTTTTTCTTCTCAGAAATTATGGGTTTCGCACAGTTTTCTTGTTTACAGTATCTGCACGCTGGCAAATTAGGGTTTATCCAAACTCCGGGTGCCCGGTCGTGCATGTTGTCTTTGTTTTATGCAATAAATTTCCCAACTTCAAAGAATTTTCGCTGTAAATCGTACTCCATTTGGTATTTCTGTTCGCATTTCTTGCATTGGACATCGCCGGAGATGGTATAGATATGTTTAGATAGTAGGTTGGTGAGGCTGTGGAGGGTGGCGCGTTGGTTTGAAGCCCACGGAAATGGGGCTGGCACAGTGGCGCTCTTCCCTTCGCGGGGCAGCTGTGACGGTTTTCGGCGAACGCGGTTTGAGGACCCCGAACTAACAGGCTGCCTATACCTGCCATTAGGAACCACAGATGGTGGCGGTGGTGGTCGGATTGATAGAGAAATATGTGGCTGCGAGACCTCATCACCCATTGAATGCGGCATCCGAGGAGGCCGTGGTGAAGGTGGAGCGTGTTTTCCAGGAAAAAATCGAGCGGAGTTAATACTAGGACACAATGAAAGCGTTAATAAATCATTCTTGTTTTCTTCAGAGTCTTTAGAAAATGTTAAGAAATCATTTTTCTCTTCCTCAACGTCTCTTGAAATCTGATAATCTTGAATGTCGATCTTCCTCTTTCTATTGATTTCGTGCTCCTCTGTACCCATTCTTTCTATTTTGCGTCGTCCAAATAAAACTGAAATATGTGAAAACTAAAACATGGCAAAAGAAGAGAGAATAGAATTGAGGTTCCTTAGATTTATATAAACTTTGGCATTATTCGATAAACATGAAAGAAACAATGTTAAATGATTTTGAATTCCAAGAAATTTCATATTCCTTTTTAGCCAATAAAAATGATTGTATTTTTTGGATTGAATTCGTTTTTAATTCAAATTCTATGAATGAGATAAGGAGATAAGATGACAACTCGTGTTAATTATTATAACTAATAATAGAAAAAATTGCACCCTTTGACCAAAATTTATTGTCCGATTGGCAAGTTGGTCCTCAACTTTTAGAAACGAGTCATTGATGCTCAATATTTCATTATAGTAGTACAATCATTCTCGTACTAATATTTTTTAAATTGTCATGTAACCCTTACGTGCTTATACAATTGTTGTGAAGCTAAGTTTTATTTTTCAACTTGGACCGAGGAATAGGAATTTAAAGTATTCATGTTAAAAAAAATTTTCTATCGTTAAAAATCAAATGTGCAACTTAAAAATCAACTTGCTAGTTATTGTAAAATTCCAACATTAATTACTAGTTAAAATTTGTTAGTGTAAAACTATGTGCCTACCTTATTATTTGAAATTGAAGTCACTTAAAAGTGAAATTCTAATGTGTCTAGACCTTACGAAAAACCTATATTTTCTTTGATCTCGGTTCGAGTAGAATAAAATTCAACAACATTTCGAAAACTAGTTTTAATTGGAACCATGGATTATAATGTACCATAAAAACATATTATATATTTTGTTAGTCACATAAATACCTAAAGGCACTAGGTTCTAATATTGAAAAAATAATAATAAGATTTTTAAAACTCTGAGATAAAATTTTTAACAACCAAGTAGTATTTATTACATAACAAAAGAAAAATGGGTTTTGTTTTCTTCTCAAGCGAGGAAATAAAATTTATAGCAACCACGAAATAAAAGTTCATGGGGTTGTCTTTGATTTGTTCGTAAAATATATTAATTAAGATTGTGTTTTATAAGAAAAAAAAAATCTTGTTTTATCTTTTCTCTTATATTTTCTAATAGTGTTTGTTGATCCCAAAAATTGAATCTATGATTTGGCCAACCGATCTCAAGACCTTTCACGTCCATGTTAGCTCAATCCTAACACACTTAGTCCAAGTTTTAGTTAAACGGTTGAGCCAGCTAGAGGAATAATTTAGGGTGTGGAGGGGCTTAGAACGTGAGCCTCCAATCGAAAAAGAGGGTCGGTTTGAGAGTATAATACTGAGAGTTTATGTAGCAAGAGTATAGGCTTGAGAGTCTAAACTTGCATTAGCATTGAATGACACCAAGTGTGAGCTTTTATACTTGAATAGGAAAAATGGGGCCCGTCGAATGATAGGGCATGTAGCCTCATCAAATCGATTGGACATTCTTGTTGCACGCATCAATCAATCAAAGCATTAAATGTTAGAACCCCTTTCACATCTATAAGTCCTAATTTGTGCAAGTGGGATTTGACCGTGTAGGTGTCCAAATGCAGCGGTGATAGTGAGTTGTCTTCTCAATCATTTCACCACAAGATCTATTAGGGATCTCGCCATCATCAGGACCAGCTTCTACATGGGACGTCTACCTAAATGGGGTCGGTCCAATTTCGTTCCGTGGGAAAGGGGTTTCCTCCATGCTTGTAACTGGGTACCACGTAAGGTAGGGGCCCTCAAATATGTCTGTCACGTAGGGGACAATTATTTATATGAGTAACAACAGTCCCCGAAATCCAGGTATGATTATTTATATAATGCGTGGACTTGCTAGTCTAAGAAAGAGAAAGACTTCATTAATTGAAGCTGGTGATGGGGTTGAGGAACGTACGTCGAGGCTTTGGAAGTAAAAAGACGAGCCTAGTTGATAGTCGAATACCGTGATAGGACTGGACGAGTGTTGGCAAGGCCATTGGAGAATATACCGAGCCTCTTTAAGAGCTGAAACCTATGATAAGGCTAGAAAAGTGTAGGCGAGGCCATTGGAGAATATACCGAGCCTCTTTAAGAGCCGAAGCCCGTGATAAGGCTAGAAAAGTATAGGCGAGGCCATTGGAGAATCTATCGAGCCCCTTTAAGAGCAGAAGCCTGTGATAAGGTTGGAAAAGTGTAGGCGAGGCCATTGGATAATCTACCGAGCTTCTTTAAGAGCCGAAGCCTGTGATAAGGCTGGAAAAGTGTAGGTGAGGCCATTGGAGATTGCCGGTGGCATGCCATAATAATTTCAGGGGCATGTTGATTTCTAATGGAGATAGCTGAGTGGCGCGACAATTTTTTAAGCTCGAGTTAAGTGCGTATTTAATGCGCAATGATGATGGCACATTACCCTCGCCTACACTTTTCCAACCTTATCACATGCTTCAGCTCTTAAAAGGCTCTGTAGATTCTCCAATGGCCTCGCCTACACTTTCCAGCCCTATCACGGTATTCGACTATCAACCAGGCTTACCCTTTTACTTCTAGAGCCTCGACGTACGTTCCTCAACCCCGTCGCCAGCTTCAGTTAATGAAGTCTTTTTCTTTCTTAGACTAGCAAGTCCACGCATTAGATAAATAATGATACCTGAACTTAGGGAAATGTTGTTACTCATATAAATAATCGCACCCTACATGACAGACAGATTTGAGGGCCCCTACCTTACGTAGCGACATGGACGACCCAGTTACAAGCATGGAGGTGACCCCTTTCCCACTTAACGAAATTGGACCGACCCCATTTGGGTAGCCGTCCTATGTAGGAGTCGGTCCTGACGAGGCGATGGAGGGATCCATAATAGATCTTGTGGTGAAATGATTGACAAGATAACTCACTGTTAACGTCGCATCTGCACACCTATACGGTCAAATCCCACTTGTACAAACTAGGACTTATAGATGTGAAAGGGCCTAACATTTAATACTTTGATTGATTGATGCGTGCAACGAGAAGGGCCAATCAATTTGATGAGGCCATGTGCCCTATCATCCGATAGGCCCCATTTTTCCTACTCAAGTATAAAAGCTCACACTTGGTGACATTCAATGCTAATGCAAGTGTAGACTCTCACGCCTATACTCTTGCCTAAGGGAAGCTTCATCCCCCGCCTAAGATGGCCTCGCTAACTGTTATGCACCCTTTCCTAGGAAAACAAACCATCTTCTTAGGGGTTCCATAAACATCTCTACATTATCAGGAATTCTAAACATTTCCCTAAATTTCTCTAACTCATTCTCTTTAATATCTGTGGGCCACGGTGAAGCCCCCCACCTTACATAAAAGTCTATAGGGCCCTCTTGCATGCACAGTGAGGCCCCCCCATGGCCTCTATAATCCTTTCAGTAGGGATTATGGGGGGCCACGCCCATGTCAGCACAAATTAATGCCATGTCTGCTTTGGATGATTTCCCAAACGGATTCTTCGAGGTGGAGGCCATTTTAATGTGAAAAAATAGGAAAACTCGGAGATATTTGGGTACTTACACAGGTCCTGGATGCCGAAAAGTAAGGAAAATGGAGCTGCTTGTCGGACAGGGAACGATGGAGGTTAGAGAGAATTACGAAAGATTTCAGCACTTAGCTTTTAATTTTTGCAAGGTGAAGAAAAGAGGAAAGAAGTAGGTTTTCAACCTTATATATGCGTAATGAACGAAATATTACCGTTGGATCTTCTTCCACTTTAATCTGGGCCATCCACCTGTAATCTGACCTATCACGGTGATTCCGAAGGGCGCTTGATCAAAATTCAAACCAAGGGCCCAGATGGAGTTGTACTGAACATGCCTCATAAAATCGCATAGGCCTTGCCAGATGTAACGTGCCATCATCATTGGGCATTAAATGTGCACGTAGTTCGAGCTTAGAAAATTGCCACTCCATCCAACTGTCTTCAATGGAAATCAACATGCCCCTCAAAGCATTATGGCACGCCACTTGGCAATCTCCAATGGCCTCGCCTACACTTTTCCAATCTTATCACAGGCTTCAGCTCTTAAAGAGGCTCGGTAGATTCTCCAATGGCCCTGCCTACACTTTTCCACCCTTATCACATGTTTCAGCTCTTAAAGAAGCTCGGTAGATTCTCCAATGGCCTGCCTAACTTTTCCAGCCTTATCACTGGTTTCATCTCTTAAAGAGGCTCGGTAGATTCTCCAATGGCCTTGCCAACACTCTTCCAGTTCTATCACAGTATTCTACTATCAACTAGGCTCGCCCTTTTACTTCCAAAGCCTCGACGCACGTTCATCAACCCCATGGTCGTTTCAGTTAATAAAATCTTTTTTTCTTAGACTAGCAAGTCCACGCATTATATAAATAATCATACCTAGATTTCAGGGACTGTTGTTACTCACATAAATAATTGCCCCTACATGGCAGACAGATTTGAGGGCCCCTACCTTACGTAATGTGGCGACATAGACAATCCAGTTACAAGCATGGAGGCGACCCCTTTCTCACGGAACGAAATCGAACCGACCTCATTTTGTTAGATGTCCTATGTAGGAGCAGGTCCTGACAAGGCGATGGCGAGACCCCTAATAGATCTTGTGTGGAAATCATTGACAAGACAATTAAGTGTCCACGCCGTCTCTGCACACCTACACGGTCAAATCCGACTTGCACAAACTAGGACTTGTAGATGTGAAAGGGATCTTAACATTTAATGCTTTGATTGATTGATTGATGTGTGTAACAAGAAAGATCAATCGATTTGATGAGGCCACGTGCCCTATCATCCAACGGGCCCCATTTTTCCTACTCAAGTATAAAAACTCACACTTGGTGCCATTCAATGCTAATGTAAGTTTAGACTCTCAAGCCTATACTTTTGCTACATAAACTCTCAGTATTCTACTCCCAAACCGACCCCCTTTTTCGATTGGAGACTCACGTTCTAAGCCCCTCTACACCTTTAATTATTCCTCTAGCTGGCTCAATCGTTTAACAAAAGCTTGGAC